GTTCTCTCAAAACAAATGCCCTAGGGTTCTAAATCCCACCCTTTCTTGCTGCCTCAGGGACGCTACTCTAAGACCCTTTCTATCCTGCATCTTCGATCTCTTCTCTTCTGTCTCTTCCCTGTCAACCTGTGAACATGTTCAAGTACACCACCTGCAAAACAAAACAAAACAAAACAAAACAAAACACCAAACCCTCCTTTGATCTTCATCCACTTTTAATTCCATAATTTTGGCCACTACCTCACTCTGCGACCCTGGATTACCTTCTTACCATCTCTACTAGGCTTCATTTTCTGCATGTAAATAATGAGGGCACTGGACCAGAAGGTCTCTAAGGTCCTTTGAATTCCAATGTTCTATGGTTCTTTTTTTTTTTTTTTAAGGTTTTATTTATTTGACAGAGAGAGATCACAAGTAGGCAGAGAGGCAGGCAGAGAGAGAGGGAAGCAGGCTCCCTGCTGAGCAGAGAGCCCGATGCGGTACTTGATCCCAGGACCCTGAGATCATCACCTGAGCTAAAGGCAGAGGCTTAACCCACTGAGCCACCCAGGCGCCCCTGTTCTATGGTTCTTAATGCAGAGTAGAATTTTTTGAACAAGTTTAGTTTCTTCATTGTCCCCTGAAGCCTCAAAGTTAATTTTCTTCTAAGACTGTCAAGGTGTTTCTGTAGCCAGCAGTGCCCCCACCCCCCTCCCACTCATTTGCCCTTTGACTTCCCTTTAAGAGTTAGCTTCAGCCTCACCTGCTCCAGGACATCCTGATCTTTAACTCTTACAGCACCTCAGTTAGGGAGCACAATGGAGCACTCTCCATTAATAGTGCCGTATCTTTCACGTATCTTTCCTGCGTATCTTTGTTCCCTCACTTAGACTAAGCTCTCAGCTAGCAGGCACTCTGTCACATTTCTCTGTAACCCCTAAAAACCCTCACACTGAGTAGGTCTGCAACAGTTGCTCAGTGATGCTGGTCGGCTGACTGAGGGGTCCCCAGGAGCCACCAAGGAAACTGGTGGTCAGTGTGAATTACAAGGCTCTCTGGGAAGGAAGACTACCTCGAGCTACTCCTCTCTCAGACACATGGATTTGTAAAACCCAGATTTTTCATTCAAGAGCATCATCCAAATTTAGGAACAGGAAAGCTTAGTTAACTCCCTGATTTTTTTATCTGAATCAGAACAGTAACAGCCATGTTTCCCTTTGATCCAAACTTAAAGTGACTGCAGGCCTGTAACTTTATGAGTCTCTGGCTGATCCAGGTTCTACACTTCCACTAATACATATTCTCCAAGGTTATTAAGTTCCTTACTTTTCAACACATACAGCATTATGTTACTTCCTCATGCTTGCAACCAAATTTCCAGGAAACATCTGGAATAATATTAAAGAGTTGGTGTTATATCAAAACTACATCCTCTGCTTTATTCATTTGGAAGTGACTAATTTCAACCCTGAGGTTAGAAGTGAAGCACAGATGGATGTGTATGTTTTAGGAGTCTGCTAGCACTTACCAACAGAGATGCCAAGTCACTAATGAAAAACCCTAAACAGTGTTCACTCCTTCACCTTCAGAGAACTACCGAGCTACCATGCACTGCGAGTAGTGTTCTCTGTTCTGTAACAATCCCGGGTAACTACTGACCACTCAAAGGGAACCCCAAAGTTTCTCAAACAATTTTAAACTCAGTTTGTTTTAAATGAATGCTCTAGAACACTGGTTCTCAACCCTGGTTACATGTTAGCATCACCTAGAGCACCTTCATAAATACCAAGGCCTAGCTCCCTCCCTTCCATACTCACCGCCCTTCAAAGATTTGTGTCTAACTGGTTTAGAGTGAGACCTATACATCAGCTACTTCTTAAAAGCACTTTGGCTATACTGATAAATTAAGGTGTTATTATTTTAGGTATGACAACAGAATTACAGCTGGGTTTTGGAAAAGGCTTTCTTAGTGGAAAAACTGGTAAAATTCAAATAAGGTCTCTGCTTAGTTGATAGTGTGGAACTGCTATTAATTTCCCAATTTTGATCATTGTACTAAGGGTCTGTAAAATGCTCACTTTAGAGGAAGCTGTGTGAGGGGTATAGAGGAACTCTCTAAATTATTTTTATGACTTTTCTCTAAGTATAAAACTAGTAAAGGGGCACCTGGGTGGCTCAGTGGGTTAAAGCCTCTGTCTTCGGCTCAGGTCATGATCCCAGGGTTCTGGGATCAAGCCCCACATCGGGCTCTCTGCTCAGCAGGGAGCCTGCTTCCCTTCCTCTCTCTACCTGCCTCTCTACCTACCTGTGATCTCTGTCTGTCAAATAAATAAATAATCTTAAAAAAAAAAAAAAACTAGTAAAGATTTTGAAAAGTTTTTTAAAGAGTCCTTCACCTTTAAAGATACATACTTTGGGGTGTCTGGGTGGCTCAGTTGGTTAAGCCTAAGTGTCCAACTCTTGATTTGGCTTAGATCATGATCTCACTGTCATGAGATTGAGCCCCACACGGAGCCTGCTTAAGATTCTCTCTCTCCCTCTCCCCCGCGCCCCCATGCTGCTTGTGCTCTCTCTTAAGAAAGATACATATTTAAGTATTTATGAATGAAATTATATGCCTGAGATTTGCTGCAAAATAGATCAGTTGGAGAGGTGGCAGGGAGTGAGTGGGGGGCATAAACAAAATAGGACCTTACACAAACTGATGGCTGCAGTCAGCAGCTGGGCAATGAGTGCGGGAAGGTTCCCAATATTTGTCTGCTTCACTGTGTGTGCGCATAAAATTTTCCATCCTAAATACTGGAGGCAGAAATTCCCAGGTGATTCTAACACACATTCAGGGCCAAGAAATACTGCTCAAGAGTCTTGGAAATGAAGTATAATGAGAAGCTCTACCTAGTATGACAATCTATAAAATATTCGGCTCTTTGACGTTGAGCTAGTTGTTCAATCTTTCTTACACTTTCCTAAACTACAAAACAACAGAAATAGACTAAAGGACCTTTCAAAAATAAGATGAGAACTATCATGACATAGATTTACTGTTCTAAAATCTTCTATGAGTTAACATCATTGTTAATTTCTAGCACAATAATAAAAAATGGGAAGGTCTTGTGTCTGCAAAAGCAGTTCCCAAAGAATATTCTTTAAAAACCTACTTCTATAAGAAATTACCTAGGATAAGGGTTCTGGGATCAAATAAGTTTGAAAAACACCAGTTTATTTCCTGTAAGATTCCTAAGAACTTTTTGTTTTGTTTTGTTTTTGAAATATTTATTTTCTAATGAGCATACAAGGTGAAAATTCAATAAAAATATGTCAATATTTTACTCATACAGACCTTCATAGCATGACCTCTTGTCAAGCAAACTACACACGACTCTCAGAATATACAAATAGTTTTTTTGGGGGGGGGGCCTAAGAACTTTTAATAAGATTAATACGCATCGTGACTTTCCAAGGGTAGTGACGGAATATGCAAAAAGTCTGACCTTCTTCACATGGGACTAGTTCTGTAGAATTTATTTTGGAAAACAGTGCTCTAGACCAATGGTTCCCAAATCTCAGGTAATGTAGAATGGATTCGGTATCATTGGATAAGCTTATTAAAATAATGATTCATAGACCACATCCTAGAACTACTGGCAGGAAAGGAAAACTCAGTCTTTAAACAAGTGAAAAACTCAAGAGATTCTGATACACAGTCACATTTGAGATTTAAATTTCTGTAGATCATAATACAGTAAAATAAGCTTATAATATTTAAAAGACCACAATAATGCCAACCACTATGAAAATATGAAATGACAATTTGGAATGCTCCCCCAAATAAAAGAATTTAAGCCATGAGAGAAGCATATATGTATACATTTTATGAAAGGTAAGTAGTAAAATATTGGAGGTGTTGGCAAATTCAAATCAATATACCTAGTGACAACTCTGTAATTATCTTAAGGATTTACTACATTTATTACTAATTGTTAATGAATTTGCAGTGATTCTCAACTCTCTGTGTGTTTCCTCATATCTGTCTTCTTCTCAAGCCTGAATCAATGACCAGGACTATTTTGTTAAGTAACTCCAGGAGTTGCCATTAACATGAGTGGTTTCTCCATAACAGAGCTCCTGACCTTTTCTTTATGTGATACTACTTCGAGGTATCAGGAATCTCAATCCAATCTCTTCTTTCCTGAAAACTTCGGAAAATGTTTGTACTACACCTTAGTGCTCACAGAGCTGTGCCATGCAGCAGCCCAGTCAATTATATATTTCAGTGTTTAACAGGAGTACCTTATTATTCTCAATAATCACTAAACATCTGTACCATGCACTTTAGTTTTCAAAGTACTTTCACAGGAATTATCTTGCTCCTTCACTCACAAAAACCTTGTGGATTGAATAGGCCTAAATGTTTCCATTCAACCAATAAAAATCACTGAGCATTTCATATGTTCATACTGTGAAAAAGTAACTGAAGGAGATATCAAGGCTCCTGCTCTCAAACAACTAATACCCTACTGGAAAACAAAATATAAATGACATACAGGAAACAGCTAAAGTCAATTCAAAGATAAAATGTTAGCTAGAGCAGATTAGTATGGCAGGATTTTACATACTAATAGTAGCTAACACTTACTGAGAAATTTAATCTTCGTTCAACCCTTGGGATAGGTTACTACTCTTTTTCAGATGAGAAAACTGAGACCAGGAGAACGTAATTAACTTACCCAAGCAAATAAGTGGTGAACCAAGATTCAAATTCCAGATTTGTCCAGCTCCTTTTTATCATTACATTTTACTCCTTTTTATCATTACATTTTTTTACATTTTATCATTACATTTTACTGCTAGGAAAGACAATCTATATAAAGCAACGGGAACAAATGTCAAGACTAAATCAGAAAATGACCATTTCCCATAAAGCTTGGATCACTGGCTCTACTGTCCAGTACAAACGGAGTTGGGAGTCGGAGGAAATCACAGTAATGAGCCGGTGATGTTATTTTCCCACAGTACATTACCTCTTTGATTCGTTTAACCAAAGCATTCTGATCAAAGGCAACGGCCTCTGCACACTGATGAAGATGATCCTGATATCGGAGGCAGAGCTGTAACACCTGCTGAGAATCCAGTTTCTCCAACTTGGTATTTGTTGGGGAAGTCTGGCCACTCAATAGCCCTTCAAACAGAAAATAAAAAATGAAATGAAATGGAAGTTACTATTAATAAATTTGTTTTATAAGTAACTTAATAAGGTCACTGAAGACGGGGTAGGAGACTAAAATTTAATCTTGCATCTTTTGCTACATGTTAATGACAGTCATAGAAACCATCACTGAGGGAGCATCTCTTATATACCAAGCACTAGGCAAAGTGTTTCATATGCATTATTTTCATAATCATAATTTCCCTAGAAAGTAAGGTATTATTAATCCCATTTCATAAACTCAAGACACACAGAAATGAAGATTAAAAAAAAAGAGTCACATAGCACAGTATAGTCATAGTAAGTGGTTTCTCTAGAATATAGCCCTTGACCATTAGAAACTATTTCAATGTATCAGGAATATAAATCCCTACTTGAATGAAAACTTTGGAAGATGTTTTAATACATCTTTTAATAATATAATGATCATCTGACTTTAAAACAAAGGCTGCAGCCAGAGACAAAGAAGGGCATTACATAACAATAAAGGGATCAATCCGTTAAGAGGCTATAACAATTACAAATATTGATGCACCCAACACTGGAGCACCTAAATACATGAAACAAATACTAAAAGATATAAAGGAAGAGACTGAACAGTAGAGGACTTTAATATCACACTTACATCAATGGATAAATCAGACAAAATTAGATAAATTAGACAGAAAATCAATAAGGAAACAATGGCTTTGAACAACACATTACATCAGATGGACCTAACAGAAACATTCCATCCAAAGATGGCTGAATATGCATTCTTTTTTTTTTCTTCATAGATTTATTTATTTACTTATTGAGAGAGAGAGAGCACAAGCAGGAGGGAGGGGCAGGGGGAGAGGGACAAGCAGACACCACGCTGAGCAAAGAGCCTGACACAGGACTCGATTCCAGGATCCTGGGATCATGACTTGAGCTGAGGGGAGACGCTTAACCGATTGAGCCACCCAGGCGCCCCAGAACACACATTCTTTTTAGGTGTATATGAAACACTCTCCAGGACACACCACACATTAGGCTGCAAGACAAGTCTTAATAAATCTAAGAAGACTGAAATCATATCAAGCATCTTTTCCAACCACAATGCTATGAAACTTGAAATCAATTATATGAAAAAAAAAATGGAGGGACACCTGGTAGCTTGGTCTGTTAAGAGTCTGCCTTCAGCTCAAGTCATGATCCTAGGGTCCTGGGATCAAGTCCTGAATCGGGCTCCTTGCTCAGCAGGGAACCTGCTTTTCCCTCTGCCTGCTGCTCCCCCTGCTTGTGCATTCTGTCTCTGACAAATGAATAAAATCTTAAAAAAAAAACCCAAAAACTATTAAAAAAAAAAGAACTAGAAAAAATACAAACACATGGAGGCTAAACAACATGCCACTAAATAGCCAATGAGTCAATAAATCAATCAAAGAGGAAATAAAAAAATACATGGAGACAAATGAAATGAAATGGTCCAAAATCTTTGTGACACAGCAAAAGCAGTTCTAAGACGGAAGTTTATAGTGATACAAGCCTACTTCAAAAAGCGAGACAAATCTCAAATAAACAATCTAACCTGACACTTAAGAAACTAGAAAAAAAAGAGAATGACAAAGCCCAAAGTTAGTAAAAGGAAGCAAATAATAAAGATGAGAGTGGAAATAAATTGAGACTAAAAAACAAGAAAAGATCAATGAAGTCAAGAGCTGGTTCTTTAAAAAGATAAACAAAATTGATAAACTTCTGGCCAGACTACTCAAGAAAAAAAAAAAAAGAGAGAGAGAGAGAAGACTCAAAATCAGAAATGGAGGAGAAGAAATAATAACTGACATCACAGAATACAAAGAATTATAAGAGACTACTATGAAAACTTATATGCCAACAAATTGGACAACCTAGAAGAAATGGATAAATTCCTAGAAACATACAATCTTCCAAAACTGAGTAAGGAAGAATAGAAAATTTGAACAAACCAATTACTAGTTATAAAATTGAATCATTAATAAAAGCAACAACAACAATAACAAACTCCTTTCAGCCAAAGTCCAGGACCAGATGGCTTCACAGATAAATTATATCAAGCATTTTAAAAAGAGTGAAAGCCTATTCTTCTCAAACTATTTCAAAAAACAGAAGAGGAAGGAAAACTTATAAATTCATTCTTCCATGCCAGCATTACCATTACCAAAACCAAAGACAGTATAAAACAAAAACAAAAACAAAAACAAAGGCCAATAACCCTGATGAACACAGATGCAAAAATCCTCAACAAAATATGAGCAAACCGAATTCAACAATACATTAAAAGATCATTCACCACAATCAAGTGAGATTTATTCCACACATGCAAGGGTGGTTCAATATTCAGAAATCAGTGAATGTTATACATCATATCAACAAAAGAAAAGAGAAACCATACGATCATCTCAACAGATTCAGAAACAGTATTTGACAAATACAGTATCTGTTGATGATTAAAAACTCTCAATAAAGTGCGTTTATAGCAACATACCTCAACATAATAAAGTATGAAACACAGCTCACATCACACTCAATGGTAAAAAACTGAACGCTTTTCCTCTCAATTCAGAAACAAGACAAGAATGTCCACTCTCACCACTTTTATTAAACATAGTACTAAAATTCCTAGCTTCAGCAATCCGACAAGGGAAAGAAAAGCATCTAAATTGGTAAGAAAGAAGTAAAACTGTCATTATTTGCAGAAGACGTGATGCTATATATAGGAAACCCTAAACACTCCACCAAAAACCTTAGAATTAATAAATGAGGGGCGCTTGGGTGGCTCAGTTAAGTGTCTGCCCTCAGTTCAGTCATGATCTCAGGGTCCTGGGATTGAGCCCCATGTCAGGGAGGGAGCAGGGAGCCTGCTTCTCCCTCTCCCTCTACCCTTCTCCCTGCTCATACTTGCTCTCTCAAATAAATAAATAAAATTTTAAAGCACTAATAAATGAATCCAATAAATCTTCAGGATATAAAAACTAATATACGTAAACCTATTGTACTTCTATATACTATAAATAAAGTAGCAGGAACAGAAATTTTAAAAATCCCATTTAAAATTGCACCTAAGGGGTGCCTGGGTGGCTCAGTCAGTTAACTGTCTGCCTTCAGCTCAGGTCATGATCCCAGGTTCCTGGGATCAAGCCCCACATCAGGCTCCCAGTTCAGCAGGGGAGTCTGCTTCCCTCTCTCTCTGCCCCTCCCCCTGCTCGTGCTCTCAATCTCTCGCTAATATAAATAAATAAATAAATAAAATCTTTAAAAAAAATTTGCACCCAAAAGAATAAAATATCTAGGTATAAATTTAAACAAGGAGGTGAAAGACCTAAACTCTGGAAACTATAAGATACTGATGAAATAAAATGAATATGGAACTAATGGAAAAATATACCATGTGCATGGATTAGTTTCATTAAAATGTCCATACTTCCCAAAGCAATCCACAGATTCAGTGCAATCCCTATAAAAATACCAATAGCTGAGGAATTTGAGAGCCAGGGTGGGAAGTTTGGGGGGTACAGAAGGGAAAAATGAAACAAGATGGGATTAGATGAGACAAACCATAAGAGACTCAATCTCACAAAACAAACTGAGGGTTGCTGGGCGGTGGTGGGGTAGGGAGAAGGTGGTTGGGTTATGGACATTGGGGAGGGTATGTGCTATGGTGAGTGCTGTGAAATGTCTAAGCCTGATGATTCACAGACCAGTACCCCTGGGGCAAATAATACATTATATGTTAATAAAAATAACTTTTAAAATACCAATAGCATTTTTCATGGAACTGGAACAAATAATCCTAAAATTATACAGGAACCACAAAAAACCTGGAATAGCCAAAGCAATCTTGGAAAAGAAGAACAAATCATAACACCACACTTCAAGATATAATACAAAGCTATAATAATCAAAATGGTATGGTACTGGCACAAAAACAGACCAATGGAACAGGACACACTTAAATGGTCAATTATTCTACAATAAAGGAGCCAAGAATGTACAATGGGGAAAAGACAGTCTTTTCAATAAATGGTGCTGGGAAAACTGGACAGTTACATGCAAAAGGATGAAGCTGGACCACTGTCTTAACACCATACACAAAAGTAAACTCAAAATGAATTCAAGACCTAAGCATGCAACCTGAAACCATAAAAGAAAACATAGGTATCTCTTGGACTTCAGCCTTACAACATATTTATGGATATTTCTCCTTGGGCAAGGGAAACAAAAGCAAAAATAAACTACTGAGACTATATGAAAATTAAAAAGCTTTTACACAGCAAAAAACAAAAACCATCAACAAAACAAAAAGGCAACCGAGTGAATGGGAGAAGATATTTACCAAAGATATAGCTGAGAAGGGGCTAATACCCAAAATACATAAAGACCCCAAATCCATAAAGAACTTAGACAACACCAGAAAAACCCAATCAATCAGATTTAAAAATGGGTAGAGGACCTGAACAGATATTTTCCCAAAGACATACGGATGGCTCATGACACATGGAAAAGATGCTCAACATCATTAATCATCAGAGAAATGCAAATCAAAACCACAATGAGATAATCCCCTTGCAATAGTCAGAATGACTAGTATTAAAAAGACAAGAAACATCAAGTGTTGGCAAGGATGTGGAGAAAAGGGAACCCTCAGCATCGTGGTGGGAATGTAAATAGGTGAAACCATTGCATAAAACAGTTTGGAGGTTCCTCAAAAAATTAAAAACAGAAATACCATATGACCCAGTAATTCCACTACTGAAAATTTACCCAAAGAAAATGAACACACTAATTTGAAAAGATATATGTACCCTTATGTTTATCATAGCATCATTCATAATAGCCAAATTATAGAGGCAGCCTACATGGCCATCAATAGATGAATGGATAAAGAATATATGCAGATCTAGAAGACACAAAGACACACACACACACACACACACACACACACAGAGGAATATTTGTCCTAAAAAAGAATG